CCTGCCCCTGGGTCTGTCCGGTTCTGGCCACGGACCTTGGTGAGAAGTAAATGCTCTCAGGGCACCTCAGTTTCCATCTGTCAATAGGACTCTGTCACCGGCCTGCCCCGGGGGCTTGTGGTGAAGGTCAGGGGCAAGGCTAGGTGTGAGCGCTCTGTGCAAAATGCAGAGCGTGGTTTCAGAACTCTGGGACCCTCTCCAGCCCCTGGTGCCCACCTACCCACTGGGCCTTGTGTGTCCGACACACACACACGTTTGGGTTTCAGAGTGTGTGGGCTATGACCCACGGCCCCCAGGAAGCTCGCAGTCACATGCAGTGGGTCCTTGTGTCTGCAGAGACCAACAGCGGCTCATGTCCGGGCACGCTGCAGAACTTGGGAGCAGAGAATCACGCCTCCAGGCGGGCCTCACAGAAGTGGTACCATTTTTGCTGGCCTTGGAAGGCTGTGATGAGGAGGGAGAGGAAAAACATTGCCCCAGGACAGGGAAGCCTATGTATCAAATGTGGTGGTGTGTGCAGGGCCTCAGACGTAGAGTTCAAGGGGGAGCTCTAGCTCCCAAGGCTGAAAAGTGCCCATTAGAAGAGTTAGCCTAGAAGTAAATACTCCTTGGCCATTTATATAAGTGCAACGTGTTGATAGACCCCCCCCGCCCCCCATTGCTATCCAAGCATTATTTTGTATTCTCTGCTGTCCTTATAAGGTGTGGTTGGTGTGGTGGTTACCATTAAGCGTAAAGTCAACAGTTCAAAACCCCTAGCCGCTTGCCTCCTGTGGACATGGTTCCTTGCTGCGGCCAGACCCCTGCTTCCTGCAGTGGGTGGCCCAGGGCATAGGACATGGACAAGAGCCAGATACACAAGTCCTTCCTTTGATCTTTGGCCAACAGGCTCCTGGGGGGGGGAGGTTGATCCATCTGTGATACCTTTTGTAGGGGCCCTTGCACAGCTTCAGGTCTGGTGGTCTTCAGGCCGGGAGCCCACCTCCTTCCCAAAGACATGGCTCTCCGTTCAGTGGACGCTGGATGAGCCAGGGGGCTTTCAGGTGACAGAAAAGCAGGCATTGGGAGCAAAAGGGGGCTCTGAAATGCCCATTGGTCTCAGTTTGCCCAGCAAAGGGAGGCCCTGAATGGTTAGGTTAATGCACTTGGCTGCTCACCCAAAGGCTGGAAGTTCAAGCCCACTCATAGGAGCCTTGGAGGGAAGCCTGGCCATTGTGTCCAGCCGCTGAAAACCCCTCGGAGCCTCATTCTGTCCCCACACACCTGGGGTCGCGCCTTGAGTAGAAATGGAGCCGCAGCTGGTTTGGGTTTTGCCGTTGTCCCCAAGGGAGGGAGAGGTTCCTGCGCGGGCTGCAGGCAACGACTTTCAGTTCAGCGCTCCGCAGGCCACCCAGGGCTCCTTGGGGCCAGCTAGCCGGGAACTCGAGAGGGCGGGTAT